ACCTCTATGTTGCCAATTCCTATTGCTTGTAAATTAATACCATTTTTGGCAGCAGCAATGAGACGTGGTTTTGTTAATTGTATATAGTCCACAAAATGTTCTCTTGTGTTAACTAAATGATCTGAACACCCTGAGTCCACACAAAATTGTAGTTCGCAATACTTTTCTGCACACTTATATTTTTGCACACTTTCTTCACACTGATTATTTTCACTCACAAATGCACTAGGATTATTTTCCGTATAATTACTCTCCTCTCTCCGTTCTTGACTCTGGTAGTTTCTCCCTCGGCCATGGCNCAACAAATAATAATAAAAAAAAATAAAATAAAATAAAATATAAACCATTAATGTCAATGTGTACAGTTGTCAAGTAATTAAATCTATATTTTTGCTATACAATATTGATGTCGATGGAGACGCCTTCAAGATCAATGAAGTGCCACTTCTGTGCTAATTGTTTAGCCTCGCCGCGAGATTGGTGAAAGCCTTCGCTACCTCATTAATTTGAAACAAATTGCTTTTGATAAGAGCCTATTTACAAGGAATATGCGGAACTTTGAGTAATTTCCGTGTACATATCATACTTATTTTCATGTGAAAGCTTAATTTATATTTGATTTTTAGATAATTTGGAAGTTCATGGATATAAAATTATTTTATGCTTTGGTAAGTACCACAGGTATCTTCACCAGATCGTCGGTTCACCTAGTGGGGGGCCTGCGCAAACTACGTTTTCCGACTCGTGGTCGCCACTCGAAAACTTTTCTGCCCCAGCGGCCATCAGCTCTACGATCTAGGTAGGAAGTACCTGGATGCGGGCTGCGAAGGACCGTTCGTTATGGAAATTATTGGGGGAGGTCTTTGTAAAGCAGTGGACGTCATTTGGCTGAAATGATGATAATGAAGCAGCACATTTCTTAAGTGGGTAATAATAATTTAAATTTTATTTCGAGAACGTAAGAAGTGTGCAGTGTAAATGAACTCTCAATATTAAAATTCATAACTTTAACAAAATCCAGTCAATCAAGCAGCTCAACGTTGAAAAGTTAACTTGCTGAATTTTAAAAGGGAAATTCCTTTAGCTTTCTAATTAAATCGATTTGAAGGCGAATACAAATCTACAGTAATTGGATTGGTTGAAGACAGTGGTAATTTTTCAGTAAAACCCGGAGATAAGCTGATTGAAACTAAAGGATTGCCCTGTCTGTTGCTAAAGGAGCAAGCCTGAATATACTATGTGTAATTTTCACTGAACATAATATGAAGAAAGAAAAATGAGGAGATCCGTAAACGAAATAAAGTCGCAAAGCTCGACGGATTAGCAAGCTGAAGTGGCGATGGGCAGGGCACATAGTACGTAGAACTGACGGCCGATGTGGCAGCAAGGTTCTGGAGTGGAGGCCGCGTACCGGAAAACGCAGCGTAATATAGGTAGCAGAAAGGCGCTGGATGCAGGCCGCTACCTATCAAGCGATTTGGAAATTATTGGGGACGTCTTGCGACTGAAATTATGATGATATTAAAGTGACAGGTCAGTAAAAAAGTACAGTGTAGTTTCAGCATTGCATTACGTACACAAAACAACTGAAGGGTAATGGACACTCCTATTTAATGAGCAGTCAAAACGCTGAGAGCTTTCAGAGCTTTGAAATCGATAAATTGACTACATAAAAATAAAAGCTACAGTTGTAATCAATCTTTACAGCAAATTGAAAACTATTACTCGGTTTTTAGGACTAAAGAAGTATTTTAAGCATATTTGTTGTGATTTTCTACAGACCTTATCCTCCTATAATAATATGTAAATTGAAAGAATCGTAGTTTTAAATTCAGTTCGTATCATTCAGGAGATTGTAGTGTGTCGATAAATATTGAATACTGGCAGCATAGATCTCATCACTTACTCGTAGCTACATAGACGCAAAGTACGTTCAGTTCTCAAAAAAAGTTTCAGCCCCGCCAAACAATAAAAAACAAAACACAATCGATAACGCCGATGCGATATTATCTCAAACGGCATCGTATCAACAGATTCCAAGTTCCAACGCGGAGCAAATGTTTAGATATCCACAACCCTCCGCTTACAAGGGGTGCGATTTCCACCTGCGTCGCGCCATTCGCGCCCAGACCGCCGGCCGCGATGGGCGTATATCGGGACAGTACCACCGCGCCGCCAGCCGAGCTCGAGCTCGAGCGAGCCAGACGACCCCACCTGTTGATCGTCGACGACTCGAGGGATACGCGCGCGAGCGAAGGTTAGTGTTCCATGTTTGAATTTTCAAATTTTTGAATCGTGTGTTTCTTTTGTGAGGTGTTTTTTTACGGCGGCCATTGCTTTGAAATTGTGGCCAGGATTTTCTGCAGTTTTGGACAATGAGAATTTAATCAGTGATTTTGAATCGATTTTAAATAGATAATCGTGATTATGAATTGTTAATTTTTACATCGTCAACAATTAAATACGGAAAATGTGAAAATTTACCGGATTTACATACAATCAATGGAAGTATGTACTTGAAAAATTGTGCGTTGCTTTTCAAGGTCATACTGCCTATTTAGAATGTGCATATTTTTTTCGTGCAAAGTTAACAGGCCTTATTAGGGAAAGTTTAAGAGACAATTTTATTTCAGTAACAAAAAAGTTAAGGTTCCATTTTCAGGAGATGAGGTTCATAATTCGTTTGTTAACTGAAACGACGTGCTTTTGTTACCAAGTTATTTTGTCAAGTTGACCAACTTAAAACGGTATTAGTGGTCGGAAAACCGAACATTTCGGTATCGGAGATTGTCCGAGTTGAAGGAAATAATTGAATTCCGGGAGTGTTGGCGAATTTATCGGTTGGATGTTGCAAACTAATAAGTTTTGTTACGGTTCATTGCTTCATTTACGGTTGAAATTAGCTTAGTTGTTTGGTGTTTTTCTAGCTAAAGTAAATTGATATTAATAATGAAAATTGAAGTATGCCTGATGATAGTATTAAACACTTTGGTCTTGTAGCCCATTTTTAAATTTTAGATACTCTTATCTGATTAACTTTCCCCAGTTTTTGTATACAAAATATGTCAGAACTTCAATTTAGGCACATTTGATAAATATTTGCTTGCAAAATCGAGCATTAATATTTTTTTCATATTACAACAAAAAATACCAACTGATGGTGCCACTTCATTACTTTTTAATTAAAACAGTGACCACACCGGGTGATTAATTTGTATTGAGTATCTTTTGATAGATGAAGGTATAACAAGGTTAATTAAAATCATATTTGTGTGCGTTTTAAACATTACAATAATGCAAATGGCATTTCAGTATTGACTTTGTATCGCAAGCCTTTTTAAAGGATTAATATTATTTATTGTATGATAAAATATAATATGAAAGTTGAATTAGTTACAAATCTATCATAAATTCTTAAAAATCATCGGAGAAATGCACTTACTCGTAAAAGGCTTTAAAATATCATAACCAGTGGATTGTTAATTACGTTATTATTGTAAAATATATTAGTAGTGATTTTTCTTAAGCGTGTCAATATTTTGAAATTGACTGCCTTAACTAGACTTCCATGCAAATATCCCATGGAAAAAGGAAATAAATGAACCATATTAGCATGATAAATCTACCTGCAAATAACGTCAAAGGAGCGTGAACGCATTTATCACGCGTCGTACGTGACACGTCATATCGTGGCGCCCGAACAAACATATTAGGGAATCCAAAGAGGATCCAACCAAGCTTACAAATACAGATTATGTTCATATACGAGTGAGGGAATTGATTTTGAGGTTGTAATGTTTTCAGTATTTGTTTATGGATGAACATCGCGTGAAATCATGATACGCTGTGGTAATCTAATATTTTGATGCTCCGTAATGAAAATTGTTATTTATTGAATGATAAGTGTGTTGTTAGAGATAAATAAATATGCATATTCACATATTCTGGCTTCTGTCAAAAAGTAAAAGTCTAGTTTATTAAATGATCTAACGTAAACTCCAAGGAACGCCATAAAGGACGACTTTTTAGCCATTGATAAGCTCTATGTTTTTGATGATCGTCAGTCCATTGTGCAGGGGCATCCCACATAACATTTATTTGCGAAGCCCAATTCTGTATTCGGGAATCTTTTTACTCCAACTTAAGATAACCCAAAACCAGTGATATCACAATAATTTAAATTTTACGAAAGTGATTATAATCGTGAGCAATCACTTCCTGTGGTAGAACGAAATAGACACAAGCGAAGCCGAAGGGTAAAACTAATTTGTGATCTCTCGTGCATTTTATTGTCTAATCATTCCTGAATGAGTAGAAACATAATAAGATATTGTTATCTTCTTTGTAACTTATAACATTGTTTTTCTCATAAAAGCTCCTTATTATTTAGGTAGTGGACCTTCTGTACTTTCTCTAGTACATACTTTCTCGGTATATCTTTTTAATCTCTTAATCACAACCCTGAAAGTACTTAATTAAGTTTAAATTGTTGACTGAAGGACTGGATGAAGAATTTTATTTTTTTACTGACTCTGACTTTATTTTGTTCTCGGTGGGTTTGTGAATTTTTACTTTATTTTAAGTAGGTACATACTTTATACTGTGTAGCTTGTGACTGTGTTCATGTATAACATTTCCTATCATCAAGCTATGGTTGTATAGTTAAAGGCCTGATACCCACTTATCTGAATAAAATAGAAGAAGTTCTTCGCTAAGGACATTGCTTGTGTGGGCATCGAAACCGCCACTTCTACCATAATAATCGAATACTCAACCACTGTGCCAAATTGCTCGACAAAATACCAGACTTAAAGCGAAATAAATTAAGTTATTTTACGCTGAAATTCCTACAAAAGTAAGAAATAAATTAAGTTATTTTCCGCTGAAATTACACGAGAGCAAATATTTAAATGGAACATTACTTACTATCTATAAATTCTGTGATATTTATTTCATAACTTGATATTCAACGGGAAATTAGATATTTCACTAAGAGGCTCGGAATGATAAAAATAAAGATCCATTAAATACCTCAGTAAGTATTTTACATTTTCTTTGATTTCTTGAAAACTTATTATAATGAATTATTAGATTAGTTTGTTAACTGAAGATTACACAGGATGCATTGGAAATCTTGCACTAATAATGTAGGTAAAACATAATGTAACGTAATGGATTGTATCTACATTTAATTTAACTATTATACAAGGATTTTCAAGGTATTTTTGTCTTTATTGTTGCTTCGTGACAATAAAGTGAGCTAGCGTTGAGAAGAGCATCGTTTGAAACATCAGTGCTGTCTTTGCTGTCTTTTCAAGGGTTTCCTCTAATATCGATTCGATATAGACAGTTTTAACATTTTTATTTTATTACTTATATTGTTTTAGATATTGTGTGTACAGCATATTGTGTGGGACAACACAGAGCACTACACACTAATTTGAGCGCTGGTACAGAGACCATGCTTACAGATTGAAGACAACACACAAGCCCTCCTAAGCCAGGGTTGTCTGTTGTTAGAATTTAGAACAGACTTTATTAAAGTAAATTGTATTGTCGTATAGACATAAACGGACGCTACTTTTTTGGGTACCGCACAAGTTTTTGAAAAGCGCTACCCGGATCGTGGAAGTCACGTGGCGTATTGATCACGTGCTCTCGGCATGTGAACTCTATTATAATAATATTTAATGAAATATAAAAAAAATATTATTAAGTATCTTTGGTCATTTTACCACAAAATTGCGGTCTCTGGTATTCGGTACGCGAAACACTAGGCCAGGCGGCCGTCAAATTCCATGGCAATTAAAATACCCACAGTATTGATTCGACATCCTACCGATTTTTGTGCCGCTATGAACTCGCATCACTGTTGTATGCAAATTGGTTAACCGTTGTGGATAGCGTGCAAACACAACAGACCACAAGCCTGTTTACCGGTTTATACGTATATACTCGTATATTACAAGTGACAACCCTATTAGTATCCAGCGTCGCTACAATCGGATTATGGCCGTGCGACAATCCCGCATTATTTCGTTAGTTTATCACTAACTTATTGACTCTGCTGTATACTAACGTGAGATTTATTGTCAAAACAAAGGATAACAAAGATACAATACATTGTAGGTATGTAGGTATTTGAACCTAGTATTATAAAAGGAAAGGTTCGTCAAAGTTCGTTTGACCAAAAGCAGAGTTCTTCGAAATAGATAAAACAAAAAACATCAATCAATAAAAAAATATGATAAATACAATTTCATTTCAATTCATTTTTCTGATGAAATATGGACTAGATTTTAATTACTTACACTTTCGCTAAAGCTCAAAGTGATGTAGTTTTTCAGCGTAGAGCTTTTAGCAATCTAAAGTATAAACAAATAGACGCTTGCTACAGCGGGTCAGACGGCTCATTATAATTATACTCTTTAAATAAATAAAGTAAACAAATAAATAACATAATCCTGAAGATATTGTGTACATCTTCCTTACATTCAATTGAAATTTCAATGTCAGTAGGTTAAGTACCACATATTCAACTGGCGACGCACTTTAGCTTTCAGTTTTCCACTCACTATAAAACTGTGTGGCAAAAGCGCGTGTGAAGTGTACAGACGAAAGATACCAGACGCTGCAAATTCGCCTTTATTACAACTGGATAAGATGACACAGAGTTTAGGTTGAGGTGCCGTTTCCCAAGGGGTGTTTATCTGAGGTCAAAGACTGCTAATCCTGGAAAAAGCCGGACTAAATCGTCGCTTTCTTGGGTCCAATTTTCTCGGTTAGTTTATGTGCGAAAAAAGGTAAACACTTTTTAAGTGTAAGTCTATATTAGTCGTTTAATCTACTAGAGAAGACTTAGAAATTCGCAGAGGACCAACGTTAATGTGCCACGGCGAATGTTTAGCCAGATATTTTAAAGGATTAGCTTCGTATATCGGTAAAATTTTCGTTTTAATCATACCCTACCTCCCAATTAACTATGTATTTTATTAAAGCTATGTTTGTAACGTTTTCAACCCTAAGGCACTAAGCCAATTTCAATGTTTTGATATGAGACAAAAAATATGCTTTAGGTAAAAAACAGAGAAAGCTAGAAGTCAATACGAATAAAAAGGGCAACATCGACTTTACAGGTTTTAAATTTTTTGCTTCGCAAAAAATGACAGCTTTAAGGATTGATGGATTTATTCCACTTGTTGTTTTTCAATCAACGGTCATGTAACAGCACTGTTTTACAAAAAAAGCATTTTCAGA